ACAACCAAAGAAGTAATTTGTAAGCTGATCTGCATCAGCTGTGGCAGACATAATGATAAGCCTTAAATCATGCCTCTGATGAAGCAAATTCCTTAGCAATGCTAAAAGAAGATCCGTGTTTAAGCTTCTTTCATGTGCTTCATCAATTATAATGCATGAAATCTTACACAAACTTTTATCTCTCATATAGTGCTGCAGCAGGCAGTGATCTGTCATAAATATTACCTTTGAATCAAACTGATGACTGGATGAATATGATGGGTAACAGGCAATAGAGTTTTCTTGGTAACAGCCAATACATTCCTCTTTAACCCTATCTGCCAAAGAGATGGCAGCAAGTTTTCGGGGTTGAGTGCAGACTACAGCACCATTTCCAGCAACTCCTGAATCAGCTAGGAATTGAACCAATTGTGTACTCTTTCCAGACCCAGTCTCCCCAATCAAAACTGTAGCCTACAACAAGTACATGCCAAAACACAGAAATATTATTTACATACAGGCAATACAGCATGATTCATGAACATGGTTGAAAGTAAAAGCAAATTATGCTAATGAACAACTGAGTATGTTGAAATGTTCTGGATAGGGAGGAGCCAAATATGAGAACTATCTGTACTGTGACCCTTGTTTGCAACATCAAATTCAAAGACTAAGTTTTGGTAACAAAGTTCAATCATCAAGGAATCAGATTTAGACAACAGGAAGGCAAAATCCTATAAAGAGATCTATTTTGGCAGTACACACAACATAAATTAGAGAAAACAGTCCAACACCATGAGCAAGAAGATTTGAATAGGTGCTTTAATCAATAGGCAAAATTTCTGCAAGAGAACACATATTTCTGAGAAAAGGTACTAGCTTTTCTGTATATCTAGCTTATTGCTAACAATCAACGTTGCAATACACATAAAAATGAAGCAAATTAAATAAATAACCACCTGTTCAGAAACTATTTGCTTAAGAATCTCTTCCCTTGAAGCGAAAATGGGCAAGCCATCCTCGAGTCTTCGGCATTCCCTCTTAATCAGATGATGAATGCGGTCCCAATTGAACTCTGTCTCAAAGGTAAACACTGCCGTACTGTCTCCATGAACATCCTCCCCGGAGTATTTCCCCTCCAAATAAAGCACAATACAACTCACCCCATTCATGAACTCCGCTATCCTCTTTGCTACCAAGTCCCTCTCAGCCACAAAACCCTCCTTTTTATTCAATAGTTCATTTGCAAGAGCGATACGTTTCGGCTTTCCAAGCAATTTGGAGACCTTTTCAATCTCCGCCTCCAGCAATTTTAACTTCTGCCTACACTTTTGCACTACTTCCCCTTCCATTACCCCCTCGAGCTTCTCCAGAAACACCCCTCGGAGCCGATCCTTCAATTCCTCCTTCTTCGACGACACCTCCGCGTTCTCCACCAGCGACGGTGTCATCGGAAGCCCTCCGTCGAGCCGGATTCTCCATAACTCCACCACCACCTCCACAGCCTCACTCCACTGCTCATAAAACAGAGTCCCTAAAACACAACCCCTTTCGAAAACATGAGAACTTTGCGGTGGCGACGGCAATTTCTCGATGAGCTCGTTGAATTCGGATCTCTTCAGGCTCCGGCTACTCGAACGGAACTGTATAACGAATTTCGGCGGCCCAGGAGACCGATCACGACGGTCGCTCAAGTGAGACTTCCACTGATTCTTATACGGCTGCCGCGGGCGGTAACAGTGACCCGCTTCCGTATAAGGAAGCTTCTCCGGTGGCCGATTTCGCCGGAAAGTGTCTGAAAACCCTGGTCTCTGCATTCGTACGATCAAGATTTACCAAAAAACGAAAAACAAACAATACAAAAGTACTTCTTCTCCTAGAAAGATTATATAAAGGGTTTTAAGAGTGTCCGTTGGAACGGGGCATGTAAATGTTTGGCGTATTTCTTCTCCCATAATATATACGGAGTATTATAATTAATTTAATACGGAGTATCTATTTATTTCCCAATTTTCTTTCTATATTACTCTTTTATTCGCATTTTACATGTCTTATTTCTTTTCTTTTTTAAAAAAATTTATTTCAAAATAGTATCCTCTTTTTAAATTTGAACATGACTATTATTCTACATTTTTCAATTTATTCTCTTAACTTGTTCAAATTTCTAGACAATTAATGAGATAAGTACAATGTTTTCAAAAAAAAAAAAAAAAAAAGTTAAGTATAATTGTATTTTATACAAGTGACACCTGTTTTTGAGGGGTGAAATTGAAAAGTTAATAATATTTATTTTATTGCATTAAAAATTAGGGATAAAGTACAAATAAGCCACTGAACTATTTGCGAAACAGCAATTAAGCCATCGAACTCAAATAACCATCAAATAAGCCATTGAACTCGGAAAAAAAGAGCAAATAAGCCATTAAACCCTGAAAAAAAAAAAGCAATTAACATTTTTTTATAGGTTAACTCCAAGTTTTGCTGATTGGATTGCCAAATGTTTATTTTATTTACGTTTATTTTTTTTATTAATATTATCCACTTGGATAGTATTATATTTTAAAATAATTATAATTAAAATAGTTTTATCTTGTCGAGATTTGATTTGTTTATTTATTATTATTTTTTCACTAGATCTTTTGTTTAAAATAATAATAATAAATAAATAAATTAGATCTAGACAAGACAAAACTCCTTTGATTATAATTACTTTAAAATATATTACTATGTGGATGGATTATAATAATAAAAAAACGTAAATAAAATAAACATTTGGCAATCCAGTCAGTAAAAATCTGGAGTTAACCTGTTAAAAATGTTAATTGCTCTTTTTTTTCCGAATTCAATGGCTTATTTTGGGGTTATTTGAGTTCGATGGCTTAATTGCTTTTTCCCAAATAGTTAAGTGGCTTATTTGTACTTTATCCCTAAAAATTATACAAAAAACAAATGTGACAAGCAATTAAGGACGAATGAAATATTTATCTTATAAAAATTACTCTCTTTTTTTTTTTCATTATTGAATTTCCCATCAAATCTTTTTCCTCATGATTTTTCATTCATTGATTGACAAATCATTATTCAAGCGATTGCAAAATCTTGGTGGTATTTTTTTTTTTTCTTTATATGTTGCAAGTTTGACACTCTCAGAATTGCAAATACAACAATTTTGGCGTCAGACTTTCAACACCAATACAAACAACTTTTGCTTTTTTATTATTGTTTTAATTATTATTAATACTTTATTAATAAAGAAAAAAGTTATTAAAATTATGTGAACTTGAGATCACTTTTGAAATATGAGAATTAAAATAAATAGTAAATAGTTACAAATTTAGTAATGTGGTATTTTGAAAATGTGAGAAAATTGCATGAATAAAGATAGTCTTAAAAGAAATTTAGTTATTCAATCAAATAATGACACATTATGATGAAAAATATATAAAATGTGTGTAGTATTATTCTTATATTATATATTACATTAAATGAAACCCAAAAAAAAAAAAAAAAAACAAAAAAACAAAAACATGTAAAAGAAGATATTTTTCACGCACATGTAACACACAATGCTTACGCTCTCATTTTACAAGCTAAGGTCATACTTATTATTTATTCAGTAATCCACACAACGATCCATTGCCTGTGATGCGTGTATGTTCCCACTTTTCATTTTTCCTCTATCCAAATATACTATCTTCACATTGTAATAACTATCATTCAACCATATATTTTCATTGTCATTTCAAATATCTTTCATTATTGTTTATAGTATATTTACAGCTTGTGAAATCTTTAAATAAATAAATAAAAGTTAAAAGTCTAGACCGTCCAATTGTAATAAAAAAAAAAAAAATGTAATAAGCATGTTCATCACTTGCATACCTCTTGTCGCCTATATACAACTTACATGCCTTTTACAAACAATTGCAGTGTTTTTTTTTTTTTTTTTTTTTGATAAAGCAAACAATTGCAGTGTTGAGAAGCTGATTTCAAAGGGAATTTCCTAATTTGGTATGTGCTATAGGAATCTCAATTGGCATTGCATCTCACATGCCTGTTGAGTTGTCCACCACTTTTCATCTTTCATTTATTTGTTTTTTTCTTTTTTTTTGTTTAGTGTATAAAATTAATACTATTTAGTCATAATAATATGGAAATAGATTGATATTTGGCTAGCGATTTGGAGACCAAAAAAAGAAAAAAAAAAAAAAAAAAAAAAAAAAAGAAGTCCCCTTAACATTGCAAATAGGGATGTCAATATTAACTCAAAATCGATAAATTGATCTGATAAGAAAATTTTAGAGTAAGGGCAAAAAAAAAAAAAAATTCAAGTAAAAGGCTTAAATATAGAACCTGAGTTGGTAATTGATGAGTTGAAGTGGATGAAACCTCAACATGGATTCTTGAAGTTGAATGTCGATGCGGCTATTGACAAACATGGCTCCAAAATGGGATTCAGATGTGTTTGGCATGATGACCACGGGCACTTCATCGCTGCAAGAGGGTCAAGCTGGAATGTGCTCTAGGGAGGCAAAGGCGGTTGCAATAAGAGAATCTCTAAGTTGGCTAAAACACCATGTGTATGACAATATTATCATTGAAACAGACTCTTTACAGTAGTCCAAAGTCTCACCTCAATATTAGGTGATATTAGGTAATTCTTCTTTTCATGTAGTGTTATTTGAAATAAAAAACTTTGATGAGTATGTTTACTCACATTAGCTTATCGTTTAATATTTACTAGGCATTCTGTGAACCAAACAGCCCATCTACTAGCTAGGCAGTCTGTTTCATTGTCTGATTGCTTGGAGTAGTTTGTCAACCCTCCCATCTTCATATGTAATGCTATTGTTTTGGACTTGAATTAATGCAATTCCGTTTCTCCAAAAAAAAAAAAAAAACAAAAAAAAAAAAAAAAAAACAAAACTTGGTATACCATGCAGCGAAGTGTCTGCAAAAAGTTCATTAGCGGTTCAAAATAAATTCATTACTTCATTTCACTATTTATTGGTACTTTGACCATACAGTCATCAGCAGAACTCTTTATAGTATATGAGAAAGTAGGACACTTAATTACAGTTAGAATAAAAAGGATAAACTAACAGTAGTACTGTCCTAACCAAAGCAATACTACTGTACCAGGATTTCATCACTAGAAAAAAGCACCTCCATTGACATCTTCCTCAAGAAAATTTCTTCTGAAAGGAACAATTGGCGATTCAGACGCCACTGTTGGATGCTTCATCATCGTTCGCTCTGTTCAGGTGGCTGATTGACGGTGCCGTTGGCATGTGCATTGGAATCTATGTGCCTTCTATTCTCCCAAGTTATGGGAGTCAACAATGGAACTCTACCTGCAACTGCCAGGCCATACCCCTTGAGCCCAACATATTTTGCAGGATTGTTTGTCATCAGCTTCATTGTGCGAACACCCAGATCTCGCAGTATCTGCATTAATTAGATCATGTTTGGTGATGCACAGTGTGGATATCATATAAATGAAAGAAAAATATGGATCACGGAGAAGTAAAATGGAAATTTTGAAAACGAAACTAAGTGAGCAAATGGTCTAAAGAATGGGGAGGATGGGTTGATCGAAAATCGAAATATCATGAGATGAAATGACTAAAAAACAAAATTCATCTCCTTAGTGGTGACAAAAACCTATATTTCCAAGGCTGAAAGGTTCATTAGTAGCATCAGGATCAAGCTTTACATATGCAGTTTTTCTACATGTTCATAATTTAAGCTGTAAGCTGGTATTCATAAAAAAATGCGTTTTTTTTGTTTTTGGGAAAGCCAGTACCTGTGCACCGATACCATACTCCCTGGAGTCTACGGGTAGTCCTAATTCCTCATTTGCTTCAACTGTGTCATACTCTTCACTTTGCAAGTTGTAAGCACGAAGTTTGTGGCCCAAACCAATTCCTCTTCCCTCATGTCCACGGAGGTACAATAACACACCCCTACCAGCAGCCTCAATTTGCTTCATTGCAATGGCCAGCTGTGAACCACAGTCACACCTGGCTGATCCAAATATGTCACCAGTCAGACACTCAGAGTGCACCCTGACAAGAACGTCTAGTCCATCTCCAATTTCACCCTGTATATATAAGCCATACATACTGATATTTACAGCAGATAAAACTTGGAATGCAGAGCTCACAAAATTTCCCAGACAAGCTATAAGTGGGTAGAAAATTTGCAAATTAGCAGAAAAAAGGAACATGATATAGATATACAAGTGAGAGCAGGCATGTATGCATGGTATAGATATACAAAATAATTAAAAAAAAAAAAAAAAAAACAGAACAAAAAGAAAGAAAGTGGTACAAATAAACATTTGTAGAGCATTGCAATAGATACAAAGCCATGACTTTTATATTCCTCCAATTAAGTTTCTTGCTTACTTTAACCATGGCTATATGCTCCATTCCATCCAACAGAGACCTGAAGCAGTAAGCTGTAAAAGGACCCCACATTGTTGGTATGGGTGCAGCAGCAGCTTTCTCAACCAACTTGTCCCTTTTCCTCCTATACCTGCAAATATGATATTGCATAGAAGTTGGAATAATTATTTTTCATCATATAAGAAGCATCCATTAGTACAAATGAAACAAAGTTCCACTTTGTATTATAATACTCAATCTGTTCAATTTTGCCCATTTGAAGATCAAACAAATTCTTCCCTGATTAAATCAATAATTTCATAGAAGTTCAAATTTTGGCATGTTATGTTTAATAGGATTTTAATGCACTTTCTCAAGATATGAATTCATTTGCAAATATTAGCTTGATTAGAAGTTTAGAACAAAATTTTGAATTGAAAACATGCCAAATCAACCAACACTATCCAACCTAGAGACATAGAACATGATGAAAGGAGTACATATTTTCTTGAACTACAAAGCATTGCTTGCTGGACTATCACATGCTTGATTGGCATGTTTCATGTTCATGTGTCCTAATATACATAAAGTGAAGAATATCTAATGATTAATGAGCCTAATGACTTTGCAAATGGGATCTTTTTTTTTCCTATCCAAAATGTAAAACTTAAATAGTGCGAAGAGAATAACTAAACCAAAACTTCTGATGTTGACAAGATATGAAAATTAAAGAGAACTGACAATCGCCTAATTTCTCATCAGTAGCAATTAGACGTCTGGGTGGTGTCAGCTGAAAATATCAAGAAGCCATCTTTATTATTTTTTTAACAGTGATCTTTTACTAGCAGGTTACAGGAAATGAGCCAATAGTACAAAAAGGTCATGGTAGTACCATTGGGCATTCTATTTTCTATTTGGACACCCAGCAGAGGGGTTCCAATATACAAGATATCATGCAAGCATTTACGCACAAATCACTTCACCTTATTAAATCAGCAATTGATATAATTTTCAAGTTCTCAGCCTCTGCAAATTGACGAAGCCTTGGTAATCTAGCCATAGAGCCATCACTATCCACAACTTCACAAAGAACAGCAACAGGATCTAATCCAGCTAACACAGCAAGATCAACAGAAGCTTCTGTATGGCCAGCTCTTTTTAGTACCCCACCTTCTCTATACTTTAGCGGAAATATATGTCCTGGTCGATTGAAATCCTCAGGTTTTGAATCTCTAGATGCCAGAGCCAATATGGTCTTTGCCCTATCACTAGCTGAGACACCTGTTGTGGTACCATATTTCGCATCCTATGAGATTCAACTAATTAATGTCAACCTATGAAGAGGATACAGATTGTAGAAATGCTAATACCCGCAAAGTAGATTTTTTCCCCAGAGAAGTATCAACTTAAAATAAGCTTCTGTCATGAAGGATAGCAGCAAGAATTTTTCAAGCCAACAATGCCAGTTAAATCAGAAGAGTGGCAAGACAGAGTAGCTTCAATTCAACATTGCCATTGACTCGGTAATATATGTTAAAAATATGCAGAAAAAAAAAAAAAAAAAAAAAAAAAAAAAAAAAAAACTATTCTGTAGAAAGTTTCTTTCACTTCATATTAGTGACAATCAACGGACTTAAGTATCCCATAATTGATCTACAAAGAACATATGTTGATTTCATACATTGTTATCTTTGGTTCATATCCAATCAATATGCATGGCTCCATGGGTAAATGACAAACCAGGGGTTAACCTTTCTCATTGCTTTTGCAGTGAAAAGATCAGAGCTACAAATGGAGGTACTGTCTACAACATGATTTTTGGTGGTTCAATTAGATAAAAGCATTCATCAATTTGATTTATATATCTTACTGTACATCAGTAAAGCAATACTGAAATAAAAGAACATTAGGATTTCCAATTATAGCTTTTAGAATTGCCAGGAAAAAGTATTAGACATACCACCGACACTGTGAAAGCAGTTCGGAGTTTATCTTCATTCTCTTTCTGTGACACCATCAATGGAAGTTGCAACCTTTCCAAATCTTCATCTTTCATGCTCACACAAACGATTCCAGTGCCATGCTTTACAATGAAAGCCATTGCTTCAGGTGTCACCAATGATGCTGCCATTATTAAATCCCCCTCATTTTCTCTGTCTTCGTCGTCTACAACAATTACCATCTACAAGTCATGTCTCAAGTTAGTAAGATATCCAATAGTAAGTTTCTTAAACTCTAAAACCATATAAACTTGAAACATTTAGAAGGAACCAACCTTTCCCTGGCGAATGTCTTCAAGAGCCTCTGTTATGGATGAAAATCCGCCTGTGGGATGGTCCAGATCAAATTCATCACCAGATGTGAAAAATCCACTTGTTTTGGGTATAATTTCTGCTGTCAGTGTTCCAAAAGCTATAACATCAGGTTCCATCTTAATAGCAGCTTTTTGCTCCCCACTTTCATTGAGAAAGGCTCCTTGTTCTGCACCCCCAGACACAATAGTGGCTCTTATCATTCTACAATAGTTTTTCAAGCCAAAGGATGATTTTCTTGCAATCCCAGTTGAGAGCAAACTAGAGGGATTGCTGTTTACTGTGATTGGATTGAGAAAATGCAGTCCATTGTTGTGCCTAACAAAAAAAAAAAAGGAAAATTATAAAGAATTGATAAGCTAAAGAATACTAACACCATATGGAAACACAACAAATATGATATAAACATCTGAACTTAAAATCTTTTTAATGCCATCGAGTATCCTAATTTTCATTTCATGGTCAAAACCCAACTGATAACTTGGCCTAAGTTTTCAAACATAGTCAGTCACAAGCACAGACAAAAGGAGGGTTCTGAACTTGCAAATGGTTGCCAGCTAGGGCAAACTTTGTCACATAGCATGATTAGTTTTTTTTTTTTTTTTTTTTTTTGGGGGGGGGGGGGGGGGCAGGGGGGGGGGGGAGTAACCTACTTGTGATGTGTAGTAGTGGCACCATGAAGATAAGCTAAGAGAGAATAGATTAAGCCCTGTTTGGTAAAATAGTTAGCTTATAGGCTAATTTTGGCTTATTTGACCACTATTAGTTGTTTGACTTGGTTTAAAAATTAATTTAAGTGTTTGGTTAATTAGCTTTTTGTACTCCAAAATGCTAAAATTAAAAAAGCTATGCAAAACAACTTTTTCAATTAGCTTTTTGAAAAAAGAAATTATACCAAACAACTATAGCTAACACATAATTTACCAAATACCTTTGTTCAATCAGCTAATGTTATCAACTCACAGCCATTTATGCAACTGATGAGAAACTATTCAGTCCAATAATCTAAATAAACAACTGCTCAACGGCACTGAATTCAGTGCCTTTTCACATATATACATGGATGCAAATTAAGAAATGTTAGCCTCCATGGTTGAGGATTCAAATTTGCATCGAGTATTGACACCACAAGTCAATTAAAATGTCAATTCCTATCAACATAAACCTACACTCTTATACATATTGCAGTCGTTGATCTCCAAAGCCCACCATTTTAATATACCAAAAGTTTGTCATGAAATGATGAAACCAACGCAATTCAAATTTTGACGTATGCAACAAAAACTCAAAAAGGATAACAGAGGAGCGAGCGGCAAATGAAGTTTGTTGTATGCGTAATATGAGAAATGCAGAGACATTGGCATGAATATTAAAGGGGAAATTGAAAAGGAAAAAGGAGGGGGGAGAAATAGATTAGACATACTGTGAAGGGAAAAGGAGCATGGAGGAGTTGAGCGAAGCCATATTGAAGAGCAGAATTGAATTATGAGGTTTTGAGAAGAAGTGAAATCAATGGCTTCTTCAGCTGATCTTGTGAAGATTGAAGAAGATGGGTTGGTTGGCTGCGTTTCGGATCGGATAACGAAAAATTGAAAGCCTTCTAAAACGGTTAAGCCATTGTGACCTAGTGACGTTATGGCGGTTTGAGTTTTTTAATTTTTTATTAAATATATTATATACCTGCCTACCTGGCAAGCCAACTACTAGAAGGTCCAACTGGCAAATTATTCCGTGGACTCGGATCCGCCTTGTAAGGTGGACTTGAGTCCAAAAATACACAATTTATTTATTGAATGTTTACAATTTTTATATACTAAATATTTACAATTTACATATTTAATATTCACAATTCACAATTTATATACTGAATGTTCACAATTTGAATTGTGAACATTCAGTATATAAATTGTGTATTTTGATCCGGGTCCACCATGGAAGATGGACTCAAGTCCATGTCAATATGGCATAACTGTCCGATCGAACTAGTCCTGAATCGTCTTGAAAAAAACGGGTTTGGGCTTCACCGGGTCTGGTTGGGCTTAGTCCAAACCTGAACCGGCTTATATAGGGCCAGTTCAGATCCTATAAAAAAGTAGTCCAAAGTCTAGTCGGCCTTGGTCTGGATTTAGGCATAAACAGAATCTAGCATGAACTTTATAAATTATAATACACTTTATAATATTTATAAATTATCAAATAATATTACAAGTCTTATAAATTTTTTATCTTGTAGAAAATCATATTAATTTTTTATTTTAAGATTAATGGTTAGAATATTACTTTAAACAAAAATATTAACTTTGAAAAAGTGAGCGTGAGTGTGTGTGTATTTGGATCAAATAAGAACTTGCGCGTAGGAGAGAATTAGGAACTAATACGAAATTTCTATTTTGAGAGATTCAAGTGATTTATCGGTTCAGAAATATTTACCAAATTTGACTAATAGAGAGATTCAAGTGATTTATCGGTTCACAAATATTTACCAAATTTGACATAATAAAAGTTATCTCATCGAAAGAGTTAAATCTAATTATATTTCATTTGAAATAAAAAACCATAAAAGATACAGTAGAGCTTAATTTAATGATTCAGATCACCTTAAAAGTTTTGCTCTAACGACATGGTGATGATTCAATTTTCACTGAAAACATAAGGGTTATTTGGAGACCCAAAGCCCACCCATTACCCCAAAATTTGATTCCACAAAAGAATGTGGAACTCCTTCCCCCATTATTCATCTTAGCTTCTTCATGAAGTTATAAAGGTCTATTAATATTTAATAGCTTTCGAATAAGCCTATATGTATAACTGTATAAGTGCTATTACAATAATATAATGAAACCCTTCAACTTCGTTTTTAGAGGAGAAAAAACTTTATTTAAAAAAAAAAAAAAAAGTATAATTTTTAGTTTAAGATTTTCATATAAAAAATATATTTTCCAACTTTAAAAAAAAAAAAAAGGGAAGATGAAAATAAAATTTCACTTGAGCACAAACTCATTTTTTCACTTTCATTCTCTTTTACGGAGTATTTATTTATTTATTTATTATTATTATTATTATTATTATTATTATTATTATTATTATTAAAAAAAAAAAAGGTTTCCCATTTATACCTCACATGTCCTGAAGCCAATTCAAGATCCAACATATATGAAGTCCAAGTCCAACAAGGAGGCCTATTAAATATCTAATTGGCCCAATTACGAGATTTTAATCCTAGAAAATTTAACAAGCTCTTAAAAATTCTTAATTTGTACAAACAAACAAATTGAGCCCCAAAGATAAACCCTGAAATTAAAGGACTTGGAATTTGAGGAAGAAGCTCATCAAAAGTGCCTACAACAATTTAAGATACTTCACATTATTATTCATGGGAAAAAAAAGATTAAATTGGCCCCCTAAGTCAAGCGGATAGTGCAATTGAATTCTCTAAGTAAAAAAAAAAAAAAAAAAAAAATTCATTTCAATCCCCTAAACCTGTAAAAAAGTTTAATTAAATCTAAAATTACTTGTTTGGCAGGTTAGTGCCTTCTAATGCTGACATGTGTCTCTATTATTATTATTATTATTATTATTATTATTATTATTATTATTGTTATTATTATTTAAACGCCACCTTTCTCCTTAACACTCATTTCTTGACAAACTGATGGATTCGATTCTTCTGGATCTACCATTTAGCATAATGGAGAGAGCCATTACTGTTTGGTGAGACAGCCATGGCTGTCAACAAAAATTCAAAATTTTTAAATTTTTTTTAGACGGCCATGGCTGTCTTTTAAGATAGCCATAGCCACGGCCACCATTTTTTTACAACCGTGGATGTCGCCTGACAACCATGGCTGACAAAAAAAATTCAAAATTTTTGAATTTCTTTTACACGGCCATGGCTGTCTGAGATAACCATGGCCGTCAAAAAACAAAAATTCAAAATTCTGAATTTTTTTTTACGGTCATGGCTGTCTGAGACAGCCATGGCCGTCTTTTAGGACAACCGTAGTTGTCGCCAGATAGCCATGGCTGTCCTTGAATGAGTACAGCCACCGGCTTTATACAATCGGTGGTTGTATGAAGAATTAAAAAAAATAAAATAAAATAAAATAATAATAATAATAATAATAATAATAATAATAATAAGCAAAAAAAATAAAAAAGAGACACATGTCAACATTAGAAGGCACTAACCTCTCAACAGGTAATTTTGTACTTAATTAAACGTTTTTACAAGTTTAGGGGATTGAAATGGAGCTTCTTCTTCTTCTTTTTTTTTTAGGGGACTTAATTGCACTATCCGTTTGACTTAAGGGACCAATTTGACTATTTTTCTTTATTCATGGAGTAGTCCAAGTTGAGTCCAGTATAACATTACCCATTAGATGTGCCGATTTCCTGACTAACCTTAATTTGGTGAAGGATTGGAGTACAAAAATCTTAAAGGCTCCTCTGAGAGTTTGTTGGAGTTTTTACTATTAATTAACTAATAAAATGGTTGTAAACTACAAATGAGATTAACCTAACTTTTTATTGGATTAGGTTATTTTCATTTTAACCCTTTCCTATAGAGAGAGCTTCAAATTTGAACAAGATCCTTTGGTAAAAAGTTAGGATGGGTGACAATATAATTATTTATTAGGATCATCAATGATTGAATATTTTAGTAATATATATATATATATATATATATATATATATATATATATATATATATATATATATATAATATTAATTTTATAATTATTGTAAATTTTCAAGTTTACAATATTTATAAAGTTATCCTGTTCATTTTCTCTATCTTTTTTTTTTTTTTTAATATATAACAATCCTCAACTGTAAATGTATCCAAATTATTGATAAACGGATCATATCAATCATCACTCATTAGCTGGGAGTTGAGCATGTTGTTATCTAAACCCTTTTCTATATATACACACTAGGTAGCCTCGTTTATATATAATAATTCGCAAACTATACAAGAAAGGTAAATCGCAAACGATACGTGTATTATATTGAAACAATGGGAATTGAAAAGTATAGGGCACTTCAATTCCCACATTCACATACACGTAGTGTTGTCAACATAACATGCACAAAGTCACAAAGTATGTAACACACTACAAAAGTGAATGTGCTTTTACTTTGTTTCCATTTGCAATAGCATATAGTTGCAATGGTGGGCTCAAAGATTATTTGTTGCGATCCCCCTCCATACAGCTAACACCCACTTCCACCTTTCAATTCCATGTCTACACTCGAGGGATTATTTTATTTATTCATTCATAAAGGGAAAAAAATAAATAAATTTGTAATGGGTCAATTTTACCATGCATGGACTTATCCACCAAGTGTTGAAATTAGGGTATAGTGTAGTCGTAGTCTGATCTTATCACAAAGAAAGTTTGATTTTGCATGCCAAGTGCTTCAATTTCATTCCTCAATTGAACACTTGGGAAAGCTAAGCTGCTACTCAACAATAGGGTTGGGACCAGGGACGGAGCCAGAAAAATATTTGAGTGGGGGCGAAGTTTAATGACGTTAGAATATCAATTATAAAATTTCACACCGTCATAATAAGATTAAAATACAAAATATATTATAAATTACAATAGAATATTTTTGATATATTAAACGATAGTTAGAGTGGGAGCTAAAAATATACTTGAGTGAGGTAAAAATGTAAAAATATTTATGATAAAATATGAAACATAGTCAATTAAATAAAATAATTTGAATACAATGAAGTATAATATAAACTTGTATACTACATTAATTAATGATTCATAGAAAGTAGACTAAAAAAGATTTTCATTTGTTAATTGAATGATTCATAAAAGTAGGCTAATAAAATAAATAAGTGAAGATAAGGAAAAATATTTTTAATAAGATTTGAACTTATGACCATATATATATTTTTTCAAACGTAAATTTAGAGTTCTACCAACTAAGTTACTCTAACTATTAGTATTTTGAACATAAATATATATTTTATACAACATTTAATGCTATATATGTTGATATATACATATATATATATATATATATATATATATATATATATATATATATATATATATATATATATATAAAGGGGTAGGGTGGGGGGAGTGGGGGCAGCTGCCCCCACTGCCCCCATACTGCCTCGGTCTATGGTTGGGACAAGATTTGAGTTATATTATGATATGGTCATCAATAAAGATGATAATGAGATGCATATAATGAGAGTTTTCTAATTAAATCAAATTAAAGAAAATAAAAGGATTCCTTTGGTTCTCTCCTAGTTTATTTGTTATATAAGTGGGTTGGGGTAACAACCGTAACATGATCCCCTCGGTCCATTGTAATTCTCTGGATCTATGCTCCGTCATCTGATCCTACTCTACATTCTTTCAAGTGATGTTTGATCCATTAAACAGAGAAGACATTCTCAAGTTATACCATCTTTCTTCATTAGGTCACATGGCGTATCCCTCTATAATGATGTCGAGTGTTTTTTAGGCTCCTAATAAGGACCTAGCTAGCGCCCACTTGTATTAGAGCATCCACATAGTGGATATTAGGGAGATAATGTCAGATGAATTATTTTGGGTGGGGATAATAACAAATGTGGAGTGGGGTTATTTGTGGAAATATTTATCCTGCAAGTTCAAGGAAAGGGACTGCTGGCGCGCCTGACCCTTTTGTTTTTTTATTATTATTTTTTTGTTTTTTAATTTTTGATTTTGATTTTTTTGTTTTCTTTTTTCCTCCCCTTCCCACATTCTTTCTCCTGATCACTCTTACATTATCCTCTAATTCTCCCCAACCATTGTGGATGCTCTTAGAATGGTCCTACGTCCTGCAAACGCTCTGCTTTGTAAGCCCACTCGTTGAGTTTTTCATGTTGGACACGGATATGGGTTTGGAACCCTTATCATCTTTATAGGCATCATGGGTAACCAAGGTTTCTTCATATTCCCAATCATGCATGCTCTTCGGTTTCACTACCAATTTGGCAAGCGGCACAATATTATTGGTCATAAATGTACACCTACCTTACTATACATGTTTCTCCGCCTACGGAACAAAACAAAACAAAGTAATTAAATAATTACGTACTGCCAAGCACTTTGTACTTAGATAGCTGACCTCTTCAATGTAGAAGGTCAAGAGATCAAACCTCAGTGGAGCCGTAATGTAATAAAGTCAGTAATATTTATTTTGAAGTCTGTCCGTTTCTACACTGATTCACTAATATAGTCAGTAGCATTCATTCTGAAGTCTGTCCATTTGTACAACTTGCATTGTAATAAAACTACTATCAAATGAGAACATGGTCCTCCCGTACAAAGTGAGAACTGTTCTCAACCGTTCATAATGGTTGAGTGTTTTAGTAAAAAAAAAATATGGCATAAATTTTATAATTATTAAAACCTTTTAAGAGCGGATTCATTTTATAATTATTGCAAACTTGAAAGTTTAATAATGCATGATAAAATCTTAACCTTTACTTTTTCAATATGGAGGGTGTGAAAATGTGTCATTTTTACAGGGGATGTGTTCACACCTGAACCCAGCCTATAGACACCCATCATTCGTAACACTTTATTGTTATAAATGGTTGTTACAATAAACGCTTTCATATATATGTTAACAAAAAATACAATAATATATTTTTTAAATAAAAAAGTTACTAATACATACAATACTCTTGCATCATTACATAATATAATAATACAGTACTGGATTCAACCTTTTGCTAAAAAAGTTGCACTTTAGTGAGGAGGAGTACGTGTGAGTAGAGAGTGAAGGTCGAACTGTGGAAGAATGGCCAAAATTTGAGAAAAATGTAAACTTTGTGATGATGGCTAGCTGGTCCAGAATTGAATTGAAGATCTTCTTTAATTTATATATAGACTTGGGGATGGAGCTAGGGCCAGTTTTGCATGGATTATGCACTCGGCTTTAGTGACCACCATCCTCTCCATTTACCTTTCATTTGCAGAAGCAACTCCAAGCCCCAGCTTTTGGCTGCCACATGTGACCTACGTGCACCCCACAAACATCATATCAGAGATGAGCCTTTTTGCTGCTCATCAATGGTGGCAAAATGAATATGCATGCAATAATATACTAAAAATATAATAAAATTTTGTTAGTATTAATTGATCCGTGTTGTAATGTAAACCATGATTCATAGTGACGTCGTCGTTTTTATGTTAAGATTTTATGTGTATTATATTAAGAGTTTATGTGTATTATGTATTATGTCAGATTATGTGTATTATCTAAAAAGAGTAAATACCGGCGGAGGTCCTTCGACTTTGGTGGCACTGCCACTTTTAGTCCTCAACTTTTAAATCAACCTCTTTTAGTCCTCTTACTTTTTGTTTCTAGCCATCTATGGTCCTTTCGTTAAACTTGACCATCTAATGCCGTTTTCTAAAAGATAATTCAATCCTTTCATAATTAATTTATTAATTAGTATGTTTAATTTCCTCATAAAAATAGTCAAACAACGATTTCCCAGCTATGAACGTGTACAAAACCAGCTCGTGAATCAAAATGGCGTACAAAAGCTGGTACGAAGGTTGTGCCAAAACGACGTCGGGATATCTCAGTATGACTCGGCAAACATAATAATTAATAAATTAATTATGAAAGGACTAAATTATCCTTGAGAAAACGGCATTAGATGGTCAAGTTTAACGGAAGGGCCATAGATGGCTAGAAACAAAAAGTAAGAGGACTAAGAGTGGTTGATTTAAAAGTTGAGGACTAAAAGTGGCAATGCCACCAAAGCCAGAGGACCTCCACTGGTATTTTTTTTTTGAAAGCTACTCGCTCTATTACATTGTAGTATCTGTTCATATACTTTCTCAACCTACTGAAACACAAAGAACCAATAACACCTCCACTGGTATTTACTCTATCTAAAAACATAATAAGTGTGAATGAAAGTTATACCCCTGATTTATGTCCGTTTTTTCCGTTAAGTTTTTTTTTTTGTACATTATGTTATAAAGGTTGTACATTAAAATATTTTGGACAAACATACCCCTACCATTATAACTTCCGTTATCTTTTCCACTATTGTTACCATGCACATGCATCCACCATATATTTTCTTATCTTCTTCATTAATAATAATATATACACATTAAATATTTGAGTTATATGTTAATTATTACATAAATATAAATATCAAATTTATAAAAATGATTTACATTATTTTTATTATTATTTAGAATAATTTAAATATCTAAAATCTAAATAAATTTAAAATTTTAACATAAATGTATTAATATTGGGCACCTATTTTTTGCGCATCGCGCATAAAAATACTAATATTATAGATATTTGTTATTTGTCATGTCTTATATAGATAAAGATCGGTGAGACAATTTTACGGAAGAGTTAATTCATAACTAATTCCTTGATTGCTTATAATTCAGAAATTTTAATTGCATCACTTACTTTTACTATATTTAAAAATGAAATGTTATTAAAGTAAATGTTAAAATTGAAAATGTTACTATTAAAGAAAAACATCAAAAGTCGAATAAATTCAAGATTGTTATTGGTGTTATTATCCAAACAAAAATAAATAAAATTAAAAACCATGATTTACTCAGGTAATTTACTAATTTTACTCCATTCTTTGAATTGATAAGGAGAATGGACGGTGAGATATATTTGCACGTGCAAAATTTAATATTTAAAGAATCAAACACATAGTACAATGTAGGATTTACATTATGATGTTTAACTGGGTAACAATTACAATTTGACCAAAAATTCAGACCTCTTAGTGCAATATTCGTTTAACGCTCGCGAGTCGCGATTACTTAGCACCGACCACGCCCTATTAAATTGGAAAAGTATACATATACGCCATTAGAGTAAATTTCATTAAAAGTCCTTTGAGATTGAGGAGTTATCAATTTTGATCCTTAGCTTATAAATTTGTCACAATAAGTCATCAAACTTCTCTAAATTAAAACATTGACTAATAGTTCTATGAGTTTGAGGTACTATCAATTTTGATCTTCAACTTACAAGTCTACCATAATAAATCATCCAACTTCTCTAAAGTTACCATGAATAATCATCAATTGGTTTTTTTTTTTTTTTTTTTTTTTTTTGTAAAATTACCGTGTAATTGAACTAAATTCATCATATTTGTTATAATAGCATGTGAGAAATATATTTATAGTCAGTAAATGAGTCCTACAATTTGTACTATAATTAGAAACACATTTATGGATCTAAATCTAAACGTCGTAGTATGTGAGTAAATATAAATGATAATGTGGCGGGGCGAGGACGGGGAGTAATCCCTAAAGGCTAAAACCCCATCTCGTCTTAGTGGGGGAAAGGAAAATTTTCATAATCTTTAATTTATCTTTGAAAAAAAAATTCAAGATAAGATTATTCAATTCTAATCAAATTAGTACAATTCTTAATACTTCATCCATCTCGATGTATGTGTCATTTTAGTTAACAAGACTAGACTAAAGTTATTTACAGTTCAATTTGTCATAATATTAATTTTAGTTTTAATATAAAAAATTTATATATTTAAAAGTAATATTAAGAATATTATTAAACTCAATAAATAAATAAGAAAATATTAAATAAAACAAGCAAACAATAATAATTAATTTGAAAAATAAATAATAAACAAAACAAGAACAATGAGACATCGAAAGTATTAATTTAAAAAAAAAAATCTAAATTGGCATAACTCATTTAACTCATATATCTCAAAATATCATGTGTACACTAGCGCTTATAATATAATAGAACAAATCTATAACAATTTTAGGATGTGAAGCAACACAATATAATGTATTACCAATGAAGTAGAATGTCATCCTTGTTTTGACCAGGCGTTTGGTTGGGAGGAAAAGAATTGTAACTTGATGAAAAATGAAAAATGTAGAATAAAGTATGAATTCAAATTACATTATTTAGTAGTGGAAATTGAACTCATACTTTATTCTACATTTTATTTTTTCACCAAATTATATTATTTGATAGTGACTAAAAACATTGTAGTCAAATGACATAATTGTAACTTTTTCAAATGAAAGTCTACATTATAAGATAGTCGGTATAAATAATAATGTTTTCATAGGTCAAAGAATTGCATTAGAATTGAATTGTCATTAAATTTTACCAAACATACCCCTGGATTAATAAACCAAAATATTAAAAATAAAAAAAGAAGAGAAGGTGTAGATTACCTGCAATAGCCGGTGAGAAGAGTCAATTTTTGCATTTGGCATGAATTTAAGTTTCATTTCATTTAGCCCCCACGGCCGACGGCCCACCCCACCCCAAACCAAACCACAGTTAGTTTAACCCTACAATTAACCCGGCTCTGGATTTATTTAAACACAGAGTGTATATTACTAGCTTGGTTCTGAACTGGTTTTACTCATCTCTCTCCTCTCCCTCTCTCTCTCTCTCTCTGTTTTTCAAAACCATTATTCTTCAATATCAATACTCTCCAGAGTGTAGAATGAAAGAGTGTGGGTGGGTTTCATTTCTTGTAATTTGCTTCTGTTTTTCATGAGTTGTGAGGTGGATGAAGTAGCATTGTTATTATTAAGACTTAAAAATGGAGTCTTTCTGCTCAAACAAGAGGGAAAAGGCTTTCATAATTCCAAGAACCAAAAACCATATATAATCTAAACAAAGGGTGCTCCGATCTGAACTCTTGAAAGTGTTTTTGATTGAGTTTTTTACCCAGCAGCCATGAAGAGATCACTGGGCAGCTCTGATTCCCTGGGCGCTCTCATGTCCATCTGTCCACCCACTACAGGTGCTTACCAAAATTCCCCACTCACAATCTTTTATTCTCTTTCAATGGTGTTCTTTCAAGGTTCAAAAATGCCCCCATTAATGAAATTCTTTATTTTTGGTCAATGGAGTTTAGTTTATCAAAATCATAACAGTTTGTTTCCAGTTATGGCAAGTTTTGTGTGGTTGGGTGTTTCCTAAAGTGTTGTTGGGTTTGAAATTTGAACTTTGAACTTTGAATTGCAGATGATCCCAGTCAAGGGAACAGCAGCCATGTGTACGCGGGGGAGTTTCAGTCGATGTTGGAAGGGCTTGACGAGGAAGACGGCGGCGGCGGCCGTGTGGCGGAGAAGAAGCGGCGGTTGAGTGTGGAGCAAGTGAAGGCTTTGGAGAAGAATTTTGAGGTGGAGAACAAGCTGGAGCCGGAGAGGAAGGTGAAGTTGGCCCAGGAGCTTGGGCTGCAGCCTAGACAGGTGGCGGTGTGGTTCCAGAACCGCCGCGCACGGTGGAAGACCAAACAGCTGGAGAGAGACTACGGCGTGCTCAAAGCCAACTATGATAGCCTCAAGCACAACTATGAATCTCTGCAGCTTGACAAGGAATCACTCCTCAAACAAGTACGCCAAACAAATAAACAAAATTCTATTTATTGTTTGTTTTGGATCTGTTTTAATGGCTGATTTTTATAATTTTATAATTTTATCTTCAATTCTGCAGATTCGCGACCTGAAAACAAAACTAAACGGAGAAATGAAGGAGGAGGACAAGGATGCAAAGCCAAACTCCGATGAAATAGAGCTGAATTTTGAGGCGGCGGCCGCCGCCGCCGCCGCCGCCGTTCCGGCGGATTTCAAAGACGGGTCATCGGACAGCGATTCCAGCGTGATCCTGAACGAGGAAACCAGCAGCTACCACTCCTCGGAGGCGTTCTTGATATCCCACGAACCCTTCCCGGACTGCTTCAAATTGTCGGAGCATTTTAAGCCGGCGACGGCCGTTCTCGCCGACGCCGCCGCCGTCCATAAGCTGGCGTATCCGCCGCTACAGCTCGTGAAAATTGAGGAACAGTTCAGCAGCGAGGAATCATGCAGTACTCTGTTCTCCGACGAACAAGCTCCTACTCTCCCCTGGTACTGCCCTGATCCTGATCCCGAGAGCTGGAATAACTGGAAAGAAGATGAACAATAAAAAAAACATTGAAACGCCGTTTAGTTTCTTGAAACTCCGACGTGGCGCCGGCCGGGTGGAATTTTTGTATAGTAATGTTAAGACTTAAGATTAGTCTCTGTATTGTAGAAAACGAAGATGTTTCGCATCTTGGCATAAGATTCAAGAAATCTGAAGAGGTGAAAAATAAAATTTAAAAAAAAAAATGGCGGAGTTGAATGACGTAAGGGGTTGTGACGCGGTGGCGCGGCCGCACGGAGCACGGCGGAGACAGGAAGCGTGTGGGTAAGGGTAAAAAGGGGGCGGCTTTTGGAAGGGATGATTGGATAGTAATTTGAGATGTCTCGCACGTTTGCCTTTCACTTTCACTTTTTACTGTCAAAACATAATAAAAAAAGCTTCAACAAAAATAAATAAAAAAAAAACCGTAATATTTTGGAATTGTAGCTTTCCAAGGTTTCAACTTTCAACACTTTATTTCTTCACTTTTTTCTTTACTAATCATATTAAAGTGAATCCCTTTCTGAATTTTACATTCTTACAAATTCCAATAGGACAAATTTAGCTTAAAATATTTTTGTTTAATTGGTTGCACAAAACTTTTAAGACTGATTTTTTTTTTTGGAACATTTTAAACACGTTTTTACATGATAACAAAACTTTTCAAAAATGTATTCTCAATTTCTCATATTAGGACGGTTTATGTAATCTAAAAAGTTTTAAGACATGCTTCAAAGATCTAATTTTAGAAACAAAAATTGTAAAACGAAACACAATTTCATATATTTTATTTTATCTCCACTCTTATATACTGTTACATTTTAATAGAGCATATATATTACTATATGTATTATTTTTAATCCTGAATCAGTTGACAATTAATTACTTTCTTTGTCCCGTTTTATTCGATATGCAAACATTTAATCACCAATTATTACTTAAAATTGTTAGTTTTGCCCCTAGCATGAAATTTAGTAACTCCATTTGGTAGCAACGAATTTAGGATTTTAGAAGGATAAAATTGTAAATTGGCACATTCTCCTCAATCCCAATTTTAGAGGGGTATCATGAAGCATCTTTTTACTGTCAACTACATGTGTAATTCTGATACTTCCATGCTGATCAATAGGAACACCACACGCATATACACATCATCAAATATTCTTACAGTACTCCGGTAAAAAATTGGAACTGATCTCAATCGTTTATCAGGATTAATCCATTAAAAATTTTAGTAAAAATAATACACGATCAATTCTATAATTATTACAAACTTAAAATTTTATAATAATTATGAAAGAATCAATTTAAATTTTTTTTTTAAAAGTAACCCCAACCGTTGATATATCAAGATGGATTATATCAATCTCCACTTTTTACATGAAAATATATTTTGACCTTAATCCTATCCTGACTCTACTATGGTCGCGAAATACCTTGAGTAGCATAATACAAACTCCTCGATTGTACACAATCGAAAAACTCCAGAACTAGTCGGACACCTAACAAGCGATATTGATAACTAGCACTGTCACCACTTACCAAGCGGGAGAACAGTCACATCATGCCCCTTTAGAATTGTCAGCCTCGTGAGGACACTTTACGCAAGTAGTTGCTGAACCCACACGCGACATGTGGAGAGCATGCTAGAAACTCAGCATAGTTCTCCCTCCTCCGCCTATATGAAGCGCGCCAAATGCTATATAGATGGACTTTTTGGTATAATTCTCTATACCATTTAAGAACGGACTCACCCGGTTACATCCAACTCACTCCATAATACATTACCCTAACTCCTAGATATTAGACTTATCATGCTTCAAAAAAAAAAAAAAAAAAAAAAAAAAGACTTATTACATACCTTTGATCTGTTGAATGAGTCAAATAAAAAAATTACACAATTTTAATTAAAAGTCTAAATTAATAATTAGATTATGCATTTATTTTTTATATGTATTGTATTCAATGTACCTAAATACGGAGTATGTTATTAATCTATATTTACCTATGTTCTAAATGAGGACTGATCTTATAATCCTACACAGCTAGACTCGGAAAAAAAAAAACTGAAATAAAAATGGGAAAAAATGAGGACAAAGATTACATAGTAAAATCAGAGGTACTAAGAAACATCATCAAAACAAAAGCGGACCGCATGATTGGATCCCTCATCCCCTAATATGCCTTTGTCTTTTGAAAGCCGCAACTTTTGACATATCATTACGCTATTAACCTTTTGTATTAAAGTTAGAACCTAGGGGCTAGGGCCCGCAACCTAGGGGTATAGCAGGAATTTCTTATTTCATTTTATTCATTGAGTTGTCCAATGCATATTCCTAACTTTTATTATAAATAATAATATATTTTATTCAGCTTAGTTGACGTGAGTGATCGTACACTCTTGTCCCTTCTGGGAGTTTGAATCCCTTCTTATATAGAAACACCAATTTGTTTAGTACTTTACCTTTAAATTGGGCCGTCCTGATACGAACGGAGATTAGTCTGAGTATGGTACGAGCTTGAATGTACATCTTACAATTAGGACATGCTTAGGATACCTCGTGATCTAATCCAAAAGAATAATAATAAATTTTTTCATCATGTCGATCCATAGAGAAATGTCTACTTGTAAAAATTAATACAAATTAAGAATATAAAATTAGAGTTATCAAGTATTTTCCTATTATATGTGCATATATTTTGTCTAACTACAGACCATATTGAAAAGTACTAGCACGTATATAATGTTTGTTTTGTTAATTTGTTTATGTGTAGTAACATATATATATGAAACGTTTCAAAGGAATTAATATCACTGTTAATTTCTAATTATAAAGGTATTATTGTTTTTAGTTCATAACTATTAATTTATTGCTTATTATTGTTGCTACATGAGAGTTTTATGTAAAAATTAGATTTGTCACATAAGATACATATAAAAATGTACTTCGTTCTTTGATGATTAAATGGTTCCGCAACTAGACATTTGCATTTTTTTTTTTATCTTTTCCGAATGAACTTCAACCTCTTTTAACAACTATTATGTGAGTGTGGTATGACTCCAATTCAAATGACAAATGCAATTGTGTGGACCACGGTCCATGCAAAACAACGTTATTTAATTTTATGAGTTAAAAAATATACATTATAAGTTAAAAAATGTATATTTTGAGTTAGAATAATGTATTTTATGTGTTTGAATAATGTACATAATTATTTGTTAGAATAATATACATTATTTGTTAGAATAATGTACTTTATGTATTAGAATAATGAAACTTCTGGAGTAAGATAATGTACATTACAAGTTAGAATAATGTACATTATGACTTATAAAAACGTATGTTGCAGTGGGTCGCGTGAAAAAAAATTATGCAAAACGACCTCGTTTTTAGACCTTAATCTACACAACTTTGTGAACCACGATCCACGCAATAACTATTGAATTCATATAACCTATTTGTGTATTTCTGAGTATTAAAAAAATAAATTTTTTCCATTAACTTTTAAAATAAACTAAATTTAGTTCAATATAACTAAAATATTTTAATTTTTGGCATTTAACCGAATTCCAACGTACCTCTTTTACAAGTAAATACATTTTTTTAATGACATTTTACTATTTTAGATTGAACTTGATTGATCCAAATTTCAAAAAGACTCAGGGAGTGTATTCAATTCCAATTTTTTAAGACTTTTAAAAAAGTCAAATATCCGACTCATTAATCAAAGATTGGACATGTCTCACAGATTGAGACCTCGTGAAATGGTCTCATACAAGTGTTACCTTTAATTTAAATTTTTAAAAAGTATGTAAAAGTCAAGTGATATTCGATTTAGATTTTTAAAATGTTTTTAAAAGTCTGTTTGTATTTAAAAAAAATAAAAATATTATGGACTTTTATAAGCTCTTTCATATTATGAATTTTGCAAATTTTTTTAGTTGGAATCCATCTCTCAAACTCCAAACTTCTAAATTTTATGTCTAGCAACTCTACTGACTTTGTCTAGCATTTAAATTCTACACAATTTTTTCTCAATATTTAACAAATTGAATGCTTTAATTCGTACATTAGAATTCATATTGTGTTTAAATTTATAATATACACTATTTTTGTGGCAACTAAATTTAATATTTTTTCCAAGTGTAATACAAAAATTTATCTAACATCTATAATAATATCCAATGTATCATAAATTTAAGACATGCTTCCAGTGGTTCAAAACTTTTATAGAGTCATACAAACTCTACATTGTACGTGCACATCGACATTATTGTCTACTGAGTTATTGAGTCATCGTGATTTACATCATTTCAAATGCTTTATTGGGCGGGGTATTGGGGTCTTTGGAATTAGGGATTCAATGTTTTGGGGGAATAAGAAGAAATAAATTGGGAAGGAATAAGTAATAAAGTGGGATTGCAAAAATTGTTTGAATTGAAATGGAAAGGCGGATAGGAAGAAGACGAAATGAATGGTAAAAAGTTGACCCGGGTGGTATGAAAACGCACATGGTTTTCACACGCCTCCGGTTGGGATGTCTAATGTCGGGTTATGCCCCCGCGCGCGCTGCCATCTCAACCTTCGTATTATCACCAAACATTGTACGCACGTAGAGACACGAGATGTTACACCGTGTTTTGTGGGAAGACAACGCCACACAGGAGAGATTCCCATTGTCCTTATATACATATAATTTGATTTAAATGTGTCACTCTTCTCCAATGCGATTGTGCGGACTCATTTGAATTATTTAATTTGTTCAGATTAACGGTTGAAAATTAATTAAGTTGAGAAAAAGTGTGACGTCATTATAGTAATTGCATGCATCATGTATATATATTTCGATAATGCATTAAGTACGGGGTGTTGTGCACTTGTGAGTGTTCAATGGTGCATTTTTTAGTGAACTGTAATGTATCACTAATTATTGGTATGTGGTTCACTAATGGAAAAAAAATCGTGGCATTTTGATAATTTTCAGCACTATGTATATTTTGGTGGTGCACTGATGAGTGTTCTGTGGTGCACTTTTGAGTGATCTGTGGTGTTCTACAAAGTGCTGGTCTGTGGTGCACTAATGGGAACAAATGCAATGACATTTTGATAATTTTCTGCACAATGTATATTTCGGTGGTGCACTAAGTGTTGGGGTGTGGTGCACTAGGAGTGGATGCACCACAAAGATATGTAAATGCAACAGGTCGAACGACCGCACGGGAAGACTGTATATGAACCAGGCTATATATATATATATATATATATATATATATATATATATATATATATATATATATATTTGCATAACAATGTTGAGAGTTGTACATGTTTGTTTTAAAATCTTAGTAAAAAAGATAAATCATGAGATGTGTGTTAACCGCCTATAAATTCTCCAAAGCTAAACGTATACTGATGCTTACAATACATTCAATTTCATATGTTCTTCTTAGTAGGAAGTGCACTCCTAC